TCATAGTTAGACTAAATTACGCACATAATTCAACAAAATACGATAGCTGTTTGGAAACTAAAAATATCGAAGTAAGCCATACTCTACCATTATAAGTCGAAAACTGTTTCAACTTATGCCATAATCGTATTTAATTCAGCAAATGACAAAATTGAACGTGGCTTTTTACATCATTATCTTATCATTTTTTCACTGGAGCTTTCAAAAATGCAATAAAAATCCAATTGAAGATAAAATTCTAAAGAATATGCCAGAGTTGAATAAAAATTTGATTTTAAAAGTACTGTTTGTAATATGATTTTAACTTACCCCACTGATCCGAATTAGTCGGTGCTTTTCCGAAATACGTTAAAAGATAATACCGAATGATTATTCCAGTAAATTATCATATGACACATGTTCCTTGATCATTGATATCTTCTGTCTTAAGCAATATTTGGCTAAAATATATCCATTATTGTTTAAACTACATACCGTTATATTTCAGTCATCAATGTTCAATCAATCTTTTAATTCTGACTGGTTAATGGTTATGCAATATGCTATAGCCTACTAATGAAACAAACATATTGTAGAGATTTTAATATTTATTGAAGAGAACGATACGGTTAAAAATGATCATGGCTTATAAAATTGGAAAAGAGTTCAAATTACTGATGTAAGACGTTTCACATTGGCTTGACAAAAATATATTTATCCATGTAAAGTTAGAAAACAATTCTACAATAAATGCAAATGATCTTAATCAAGTGAGTAATAACGAAAAGAAAAGCACCTGCTTAATTTATTACAAAATAAAAGAGTTTTGACCATAACACATCCATTTGAAGGATCTTCATTGGTCTATTCTAACGTGCATTTCATTTAAACGTGTGTTAGTATTCTGTAAAATTTCAAATAAATTGTCTCCGTCTATCTTCGAACCATTGACAAGCTTCTAAAATTGGCTTCTAAATTTACTCAAAATCAATGTTGAGCATAAGAAAACATGAATGATCAACTAAGAGAACCTTGGAACTTAAAACTGTTTAAAGTTATTTCATTGGGAAAAGCTTCTGCTGAAGTCATATATATGCTTACATTTGCCTTAACAAAGGGCTGTAGCTATGTCAATTTGCAAGAAAGAGAATGATTTTAAATATTTCATCGGATGTAAAGTCGTGACGGAAAAACGATAAAGTGAATAAAAGGATAATGTTGATGAAGAAGATAATATTGATGAAGAAAGATGATTAAAGAAAATAGATCAACTTTATCTTCTTCAAATTTTGTTGTAAATACGTTATATGAAAACATATAGCTATAATAATATCAATGGCATGTTGTATAAAACATGGACTGGACTTGACGTGTAAAACATTGAGCTTGTTGCTGGTGTAAAAGACTAATGATCTGCTAAAATGAACATTTAATGTAAGAAAAGAAAATTTAAACAAAACTAAATGGATACAAGAAAGCCATGTACAAAAAGAATTAATGTTTGCTGAAAGTTGTTCTGAATTTTTGGGATCGCTTATGTTGCTACTAGATGTTTATTCTTCCGTGCACACTTGCAATAATTTGTTAATAATGTATCTAAGTGTATGGTCGCAAATATTATGTTTTACGTTCAAACTTCTATTGTACATATCAATTTTATTTTTTAAGTTTTCATTTTGCACTTGAGTTTATATTTTATGCGACTGTTTGCATTTTATACGCAAGTTTTCGTTTCATTCAAGTTAGCATGCATTTTCTTTATCTGCAACCATGTAACAAGTCGCCTTTGCGGGCGCAACTATGGTGGATAAACTTATACAAACCCTTTCCAAACCCTGACTCTAGCCCTAACCAGAGATATGTGATGAAAATGAGAAAATAACTTGATTCTTTGAATGAACAACTATCTGACACATACAAAAACATTCAGGTTTTGAGCCCGGAAGATCGGACTTTAACGAAATTTACAATAGTGCCGTACAAACAGCCAGTATGTAAACGCTGCCTGCGTTTATATGTAGGCGTATATGAATTTGCTACACGCTGAGCGAGACGTTGTCAAAGCAATAGATAGTTTGAGACGTTTGTTGATCTTTGCACCGACGTTCAAGAATTTAATCATTTTTGTAAAGTTGAATTATGCTCTACTCATTGTTGTTTAAGCTGGCATCAATGAATCCATTGCTAAAATGATTGCAGAACACACCAGAACAATTGAATAGAATCAAGAAAATGCGGAGTATCTGCACGTACGGATGAGCAGCACAGACGATGATTTATCGATAATATGTGACAGTCGTTAATCCGTGCTCTTATCAGTCGTCTGCTGGTGGATTTGATAATCTGAATAGCCTCTTGTGTGATCAACGGGAACTTAATGCTACGCCCTGCCGGAGCGACACCAAAATCCTTGCAGCTGTGGTTCAACCAGAAGTGTTGGCGTATGCGTCTGACGTTGCTTGCAAAACGTATGTAGTCGTTAGCAAATTGTTCGCTCTGTCGTTCAAATGATCGTAACATTATCCAAAATGATCGTTATTATTATTATTAAATATAGTGATTTATCATATCCAAAAGAAATAAAAGTTCTTCGCCAGTTAATAGTTGTTAAATATCGTTCATGATATTTTATTGCAATTTATGAAGAAAGCATTCTTAAGAGTCGATGGTTGGCACTTTGTTTACTAGCCACCATTTCTACATCCAAAATCATTTGCTGGCACTTTACCTTCTTTTCATCCCCTTAATTTTTTAAAATAGTATGAGCAACCTTCCTGCCTTCAACCAAATCTACCTGCCAGCAAAACGTAAGTAAGGCAAGTCATTTGTACTAAGTCTCTATTAATCTTACGCTTTACCCATAATATTGTTCAATGAATCAACAGTCAGGAGAACCTTCCTGTACATCTTTATGACGTAAATTTAGTTATATTCCTGACCAAATTACGCCATTTTGGCACTTTTTTATTGTTTCTAAATGAAATTGATTGACTGCTATTGTGCTAAATTTTTGCGCAAAACGTAAATGCTTCTCAATATCAATAGAATTCTCAATATCAATTCAGGAACGAAACTAGAACGTTAATTGGGAGAGTGGGGTGAATATTCATATATTTAGCTCTGCCCTGCTGATTTCTTTTTGAGATTAACATCGCAAAAAAAAGAAATCAGCAGGGCAAACTGAATATATGAAAATATACCTCCAGTTAACGTTGTAGTTTCACCCCAGATTGTATTTGTCCTCTGGACATTCCCCATGCATTGCATATTTGCTCAGAAAAAGGTGCACATTCAAAACGTCAAAATAGTTAATATTTTCTGCCTAGAATGCAGTTTACTAGACACTAGTAGCCCTTTTGTGGTGACCATGAAGATTATGGACACATATAACAGTTTATAGAGGAAATGTAAAGCAATGACAACACTTACAGCAGAACGATTTTCAACTTTTTAACGCGGGAAAAAGCAAAAGCAACGTTTTTGTCGATAGATTTATTGTTAAGTTTAGAAATATGAGTTAAGGTTTGAGTTAGGGTTATGGTTAGGTTCAGGTTAGGAGATTTAAAATTGAATTTAAATCACCGACTTTTCTAAAGCTAAGCTCATACATGCCTTTCTAAGCATATTTTCTGAGCTTGTGTACGTTTCTTGTCTTTTGATTAACAACATGAGGTGTCTGCTAAACTGCATTTGATCCCATGTTGATGACGTAATGTACTTATTAAGGTTTTAATAACGACAAAGTCATGGACAGAGGCGTAACTACAACTTTTATTGAGGGATGTATACTCATATATTCAGTTGTGCCCTACTGATTTCTTTTGAAATTCAATTCACTTTCAGGAATATATGAATATTCGTACACCCAACCAATTAACGTTCTTGTTAAGCTTATGCATGGTCATAGACGGTAAAAGATCGATGATTGGGAACCTGAAAAACGCCTATATTTATATAATCAGATTGTATAATTCGTAATAACAATTAAATTTGACAAAAACCAGTAAATTAGAAAATAAATTTAATGAATTTGGCTCACCTCAATAGGTAGTGTGCAACCATTCCCCAGGGAATGAGAAAGTAATTGAATGTTTGCCTTGTTGTATGACATTTGTATTGTAAATAAGAACAATTATTTGTAAGAATCATCAAAAATGGAGGCTATGACGTAGCTTGCACATCAAGAACCATTGGTGGATCAAGTGTACTTAAAAATAAATTACAGCTCCCAATTTGAAATTCACATTTCATGCAAAAAACACTAATGGTTTTTGTTTTCTAAAGAACATAATTTTACCCATAGATTTGTCTTAAAGGTGCTTAGAAATGTAAATGTACGCCAAAATGTGCTGTAGTAATTTATTTTGATTTACTCTGAATCCGCCACTATCAAGAATTAACAATTTCCATCGCTGCTGAAAGTGAGAAGAAGAATGTTGATGATTTTTTTGCAACTCGATAATGCATGTTCTTTGGCATAAATAGTTAGCTTGTCTATTTTAGTGTGCTATGTTTAATTATCTCTACACTCCCACTGACCTCAAAAACAATGATTTGCAACACTAAATATTATGATTTTATTTCATTTAAATTACTGGTGAATCACTTGGTCGATGCATTGCATACAGACCTATTTTTATTGACAAAAACCTCTCTCCCACTGCTGTTTCTTGTCAACATGACTGCACGTAAAGAATTTGGTTGCCATTGTGTGTACGAAGTCATCTTTAATAGTTTTAATCAATGCTGGGGAAATTGGTAATTTTTTTCGCATTTGAGATTATTTCACGCCAGAAAATTTTAATAATTTGTCCTGTGGAATACCACATCAGTTAGTTTGATTGCTTAATCATGCAAATTTTGGCATTTTTCGAAACAGTGGTTTGACTGTGACGTCATGCAGATGTTATGTATAAGTCTGTCTTATTTTAATTTGTAAATAATTTGATTTTTTTTTTGGAAAGATAAGGAGTATATTAAGCCATGTAACTTTAAAAAATTAAATGAAGAAATGCTATGGATTGCTTGCCGTACGTTATATATTTTTATCAAAAATAGAGAAAACTACATGTACTGTATACATTACTACTTATCTAAACTACAGAAAACATTAGAAATAAATGATACTTAATGCCAAAACTAAATCAAAATTTTTCCATTCCGTCACAGCCAAATATGTTCTTTTTTTTCAAGGAAAGGGCTTCGTTTGATCTGGAAGAAAACATAATCGAAAAACAAAATTGGGTATTTCATGACTTCGAATTCAGCCACGTTGCTGCGTCCCTGAGAGAGAACACCTTGTAATGCTAACCTGACAAACATAATTTTATAGAAAATACTAAATTTAAAAATAGCATCCATTTAAATACAATCTTCTTTATTTTAAATAATTAATAGATTCGACAAGTCAAACATACGTATAGCTACACGAAAGCAAAACTGAGTGCTTAGTTTGTGAATTATTTTGCTTTTATTACTTCTGAAAATTCTTATGATTTATTAGCATATCATTCTTTACCAAGTTTAGAATGCACAGAAATGGGAATTACAGATTTCACAGTATTTTTAGAAGTATTTTGATTATGTTCAATTAATTGAAAGGTAAAAATACTTGCAACTAGAAATCATAGGAGCTATATACAAACCTCGAGATTCAAAAATTTTTCCATTAACCAAGACATACTTATTATTGAGGCCAGTGGTCACAAATGAAGCATACGACAAAGTAACTATCCAACCTGAGCCCATTGGAGATGCCGTAGTTATGCCAGTTCGACGGTAGACCACGTTGTTACTATTTACTCCATATACATCACCAGCTGCCCCAGTCTTAAAAAAAAGAAAAAATATTAAAACACTAATTTTGTAGTTATTAATTTAGAGATCAATTTGTAAAATAAACAATACCACTACAAGAAAATAATAACACATAAAGAAATAAAATTTGCATAATGCTCATTCAGCAAGTTTGCGTTAGTTAAATGATTGTTCAAGTTACTGAAATCGTTTCAGGAACTGTTAATGATGGTTGCAGTGAGTCTGGGACTGAATTTTTTTTCACTTCTTACCAGTGATGTTCCTTCCAGTCAAAAGAAAAAATGTTATTTAGGCAGGCAATGTTAAATTAATTTACCCTTTTGTGGTTAATATGTTTGCTGTGTGCGGGAAGATTGTGTTGGAGGTGGCTAGTGAAGGCAGTTATATGCATGGTCCATTTTATGTATTAGATTGTCAATATGTATAGTTTAATTTTAAATACTATGTCTAGTATGCTTCTTGAGTGTGTGTGGGGTGGCGTGCCTAGTAGTTATAGTGATATGCTATTTTTAAGAATTACATTGTCAATATATATAATTCAAATTTAAATGTATAGTTTTCTACATAAAAATAATTAGATTTACAATAATAAAATAGACTTTACGATAAAACCCCACACAGGATTTATGCCAGTAGCCTACTAAAATCTAATGTAAAATTCATCAAAATATTTTTAGCTCGTATATTGGTAATAGCTTTTGGATAGGAGAATTGAAGTATGCTTGTTGCAAGTTGTAACTTGTGCCATTTTGATGAACCTTGATAAAACTTTTTTAAAAAGATCGAAGATACCAGCGTTCTTTGTCATTGTATATATAATAAGTGCAAACTTCATTTTTCTCATTTTTTTAATTGAAAGAGACCTTTTTGTTGTAAAACATAGACTTGCATGGTCGTGGTAATAATAGTAAATAATGCTTTGAGCGGTGTGTTTGCAATGGTCAGCGAAAACTAGAAAGCTTAAAATGTTTTGTCTTAGTGCAATATAAATAAAAGGAAATTTTTGGTTTTAATCAAAGGAGACATCATGAAGCTGATGTTATTACAATAACCACTAATCTATATGCGGTACGTCTAGCACAACTTGCAGCGAAATTTTTAGTAAAACCTATCTTGGCTGGTGGTGTTTATTTTAGAGTTATTAACATCAGTCACCACTGTTTTGTAATTTAAACTACGCGCTTAAATATCATAAAAGTTGGGTTGTTTTTCAAAAACAAAAAATAAAAATTGTGCAGCATGGTCTTTTACCTTTGAGCGAGAATTGAATTATCGACAAACCTCGATTTGCTTAAGAGCTCCTCCGATATGAGTCCAACTTGTTCCAGCACAATTTTGCGCAGATACCCCGGAACGGTAAAAAATTCGGTCATTAACATTTACACCCCAGCATCCCAATGCACCACAACTGATGTATTTTAATTTACCAGAAACATGTTTCCATCCTGTTCCTTGACGATTATTAGTTGAAATGCCTAATAAAATAGGGAAGTTACGATATATTTTCAACGAATGATTAAAGATATTTTTTACTCAAAGATATTTTTTAGTCAATTGTTTAGTCAAGTAGTTGAACGTCAGAGGAGAGGACCCAAAAGATTACATTTGTATTAATTTGTACTTTTTCGAAAAACTTATCAACGTGCTGTAAACAGAAAAAATAGCTGTAGCTACTTTTATTTGCCAAATTTGACTTCATGTTTTGATTAAATAGATATGAGCTTTAGTAAGAATACGACTATACGACTACGAGTCACCACCAATGAACTCTATTAAAACACTGGAACGATAACTACAATGCAAAAGCCATACGATAAAACGAAGCCCCAATTTCGCGGATATGGAGTAATTTTTTAGGTATATGTGTTATCATTGGCGTAGCCAGCCCGCTAATTTGGTCGTGCTATATAAATTTAAGACCATTATCATTTAGCATTTCTTTAGAAATCTAGTGTTTTTACACTGAGTGAACACAGAAAAATTTACATAACACGACCAAACTTGCGGGCTGGCTACGCTCCTGTGTGTTATATACCTAAAAGTTATATAGCGAGTTGTGTCCGTCGATTGTCACAAATATAGAAAACATGGCCTGCTTCACAACATGCTATTTTAGTAATACGTGTGGAGAACTTTAAATATGTCGTGTTCTTAAACTTTACGATTGTTGTATAGAGGATTTTTAATGACACGTTCTTTTTTCTGAAAAATAAGCTATGACAAAGTCATTTGAAGATGTTGACGATTATTGTTTTTAGTCTGCAAAATGTTTACACGACTTGAGAGCTTTAGTTTTCGATCAGAATGCTGATTTCTTAATTTTTGACATATAACACATTAAATAGATGAAAAAAGGTAAGAAATACCTAAAAAGAACATTTCATTCCTTTTTTTTTATCAAACTCGTCATGGAAAATGAGAAAAACAATGTTTTGAAACCATTACGTATTTGCTTTTTCCCCAAACTTGCCTTCCTTCTTCCGAAACTTCCCCATTCATCAAAAGTGCCCAAAATTTGCATGTTCTTAAAAGCTATCATGTATTTTTGCCTTTTGGTAAAATAATGCTGGATTTAGCTCAAAAATAAAAGAAATTAACTTCTATTAAATTGCTCATTGTTTTTCGTACGGAAAATGAACAAGACCGCGCATCTGCATTGTATCCAGCAGTATGGATCATACCTACAAAGCCACTTGTGGGCCTGGATCATACAAACAAAAAAGCGATATTCTTGGCTTCAAAGATGGCGGCAAAGTTATCGTCACATTTAATTATAGAGTTCGCTGGTCATTACAAAGACGAAGTTTGACCGTGTAAGGCCTTGATTGTTAAAATTAGTATTGTAAAACAATTTCTTAGAAAATAAAAAATATACCTGCTTTCTTTGCTTTAAAATTAAGGCATCGTAGTCACGAATACGAATTTTTAACAGAACGTCGTATAGTCAGAGAGATGACGGCTACTTGTTTTGTTGTCACAACAATGTTTTGCGCCAAAATGACGTACTTCTTACTCATAATCGTACTCTATGCTAAAAAATTGCAATTGAATACCTGTACGACAGTAGATGTTGTCGTTACTGTTTACTCCATATACAATCCCTTCCGGACCAGAATCGATCTGTTTTAAGCGTCCAGGTATATTTTGCCATGAAGAGCCACCCAGAAAGTAATATATTTGATCGTTACTGTTTACTCCCCAAACACCAGCTGCACCAACAGAAACGTGCTTTAGGCCGCCAGAAATATGAGTCCACGAATAATCTGTGTTAAGGCGGAAAATATTGTCATGATGGTTCACACCCCAAACACCCTCAGAAAGACCGTGATCAATTTGTTTCAATGAGCCTGGTATCAACCGCCATTGTCCTGTTCATAGATGAAAAAAGCATAATTAACAAGTATTATAATAGCTTTAAGGAATAAAAACATGAAACTGAATTAACTGTGAGTTATAGATTACGTCAACTTCATGTTGGATTTAGGTAAAGGCAAGAAAGTTTACTTTTTAGAGGAAAACGTTAAAAGAAAAACAAAATTCTAATTTAAATTATTGTTTGAAGAAAGATTGAAAATTCATTCATTAACACTTTTTAAAAGTACTTCCATAAATGTAGTCTTATGCAGAAGGGAATGTGATGCAAATTAACAGAACCCGTGTGACATAATAATTCACACAAAAAGTGCTCAGTAAGTAGATTAGCATATTTTTCAAAAAAGCCAAAGTAATTTGTTATGATAAATGTTAAAAAAAGTGTCAAAGGCTGTGAGCATCAGTTCGCCGGTGATGTCAAAAACAGAGAGATTTTTATGTAAGTGTTGTGTGTGTTAAATTTTATTTATTTATTAGTAGACACATCTCTAATACACGAAATGTTTTCGGCAAGGTATAGCTTCTCTGAAAATAATAACTTTGACTTTGTCTCAGAAACATTGAGCAAATAATAAAGCATAGAATTCCCTTGCAGAAAATAATACATAGTAGCGTATAAGATACAAAGTTACATTCCTTCAATTTGCAAAATTAAGAGTCAGTGGAATATTTTCAATTATTTTAACTAATTAAAAATAGCTCATATTTTCATCTGGAAAATCCAAAGACAAACTACAAACTATATATTTTCACAGTTTTAAGTACATGCAAAATATTCAAAAGGACCAATATGGATAAAAGATAATTCATGTTAAACATTTGCTAGTCATTCATCAAAAAACCATAGAAATAGTTTAACTTACCATTAAACTTAAAGATTTTGTCATTTTGATCAATTCCGAATACATGAGTTAAGCTAGCTGACACGTGATCAAACTTAGGAGCAGCAATGGATCTCCAATGTGTTCCAGTAGGATTAGAGGAGCTGATTCCTTCACGGACATATAATGTTCTGTGAATGTTCACACCGTAAACAGCACCACTTGCTGTCGTCTATAAATAGCGATTTCTTTTAAATTATAATACATAAATTAATAAACTACTGAAAAACGAGCAAAATGTTTTAAATATTTGAGTTGTAGCAGTATAGCCTCTTTTCAAGCTGTGAATTACTTAAAATTTTACAGTCTAATTATTCTATGCAAATTCATATAAATTCATATAATTAACTGGTAAGAAATATATGTGCAAAGCATATTTTTTTACAACAAAATAAATTTGCTTTGAAACAAAAACTATAAATTTTAAGGATGAGGAAAATCTACAATGCTCGACAAACATTTCACACTAACTTTTCATTTTGCTGACATTTTGATTGGCAAATGCTTTTGACTGGTAACAGTGACTATGGATTCTAAATTGGTTATAGAAAGTCCTTTTCGACATATTAACTTGTATTCTGTAATCTGGTGTGGTCTACTGATCCTAAAGATGCACGAATTTCGCTCAATTTGCTTTGAAAAGTCAAATTTATAATTTTTACAGCTCTCTTTCTATTTTTTTATGTTTGGTTCATCAGTATCGCTATATACTGTTACCCGATCCTTTTCGTACGATAAATTCAGCGGGATACTTGGGCCCAGAGAGAATTAGCTCAGTTCGGACGCTTTCAATATTGCATTCTTGATAACATAAAATATTGTTCTTTCTATATACAATGGTGAATCTATCCGTTAAGCTCATCGTTGTCTGCTCTCTAGAAAATTTCCTGTTTATCCCTTGTTGTCTCTACTCGTGTTCCACTTATCTATTACTATCCTAATCAGTGGAAATTATTGTTTGTCAGGTGCATAATACTGTAATTGAAGTTTTCGCAATGATTTATCCTATATATTGTTAGACGGAAATCGTCTTAAAATTTGGGTCAATATTGATTTTCGTTGAATATTTACGACACTAGCACTAACTATGATCTCAAAGTGAACTATTTTCATGACAAATATTTGTATTGTACCAATAATTTAAGAATGTGAGCTATTATAAAAAAGTATTTTTTTTAACTGGGCCATGTGTTTGTCATGACACGTCAGATCTTAATATATTACTTTCCCTAAAATATGAAAAACAGGCGTAGCAAGCTTTCCTTCAAATTTGCGCAGACTGTAACTGCACAGACCTTTCAGGAATTGAGGGTTTGCCCACTGGCTAGACACGGTGCAGTTATTAAAATAATCTGCTTAAACTGCCAGGCCTCATATATTGGGAAGACTGTCATAAAATGAAAAATAAGACTTGCTAAATACAAACGAAAATGTTCTTTTAAAAAACTCGGAGGTGACCAAAAGGCTGTGGTCTCCTATATGGCGATTTGCAATAAAACATCTCCTGATGAATCTCCTTTAAAGACACTGATTTTATTCAAAAGGATTTGAATTGTATGATTTTTTTTCCTATGTAGCTATAACAAAACATTTAATGTGTGCTCCCTCGGAAAATATTGAGTTTTGCTTTCCCTCGGCTCTCATGCAATGTTTCCCAGAGACTCTTAGAAAACAAAACATATTAAGTGTATAATGTATTTGTGCGTTGTTAAAATTTAAAATGACACACAAATAAACATTTATTTAAACAAACAGTTAGTGAGCAGCATTTGTGTGCTAATGGTAAGAAAGTGATGCACATAAAACATGGCAAGACACAAATTTTGCAACAAAAAACTCATACCTCAATTTGTTTCAGTAATCCTGGAATGTTGACCCAGTTCAATCCTTTACAGTTAGATGCAGTAACTCCTGTTCGGAAATATATAAGATTGTTGTTGTTGACACCCCAACAGCCAAATTTTCCACAGCTAACATATTTTAATTTTCCAGGTATCCATTTCCAGCCAGTTCCCTTGGGATTGGACGCAGTGATTCCTGTTCTACAGTATATATTATGCCCAGAATTTACACCATACACTATTCCTGTTGGTCCTGAATCGATTTGCATTAAACCTCCTGCAAACATATCGAAACACTTTTAAAACTGAATCGAAATAGCTGCTCAGTAACTGCACTCTTTCAGTAACTGCACAGCATAATTGCACTGTAAATGCTGTAATCTGATTGGCTAAAAATATATAAGTCAACAAAACTTTGCAGTTGCAATCGTGTGAAATTCAAGAAATACATACAATGTAAAAAATAAAAACATGAAACCGAGTACTGTTTTTCTAGGTAATAATAAAAAGTTTCGATGTGAAATAAAGGCTTTCCAAAGGCTTTTCCTTTTTCTTCCTTTCATGAAACGCCTTTCTACTACGACTATAATATACCATCTGCAGAAATTGTTAAATTTTAGTCTAGATTAACAGTACCATCCTTTATTTGACGTGAATTCCTCGCACAGCAAGTTTAAATGCTTCTCAAAGCTAAACTAACACAAATTTTCTGTTGTTTTCCAAAAAATGACACAAGAATTAAAATATGTTTGTACCGTACCAGACACTTGGGTCCAGCTTGTGCCAAATGATGAACTGAGCGTCACTCCTTCGCGATAATAAATATTGTCGTATTTATTCACTCCCCACACTCCAGCGTTTCCAACACTGACATGTTTTAATCCACCACTTACCGAGGTCCACCCATTTCCATTGCGTATAAAAATTTGATGATTACTGTTTACACCCCAAAGAATGTTATATGGACTTAAATCAAGTTGTTTTAGTCTTCCAGATTGCAAGGACCAATTTGGATGGTTACTTTGAACACCTTTTAACAAAAGTAATTGATGGATTCATTCAAATAACCTAGTCAAACATTATTTTCTTTTCATGAAATTTGTATCAGTCAAATCAGAGACTTTCATGTTTCTTAATTTTTTTGCTTACCTGTCAATAGAATCGTAAGCACGAAAAGGGAGTGACACAGCATTTTCATATGTTTCAAGTATTTGAAACCTGTTGAAAATATTAGATCCCTGTAAGAACAGTGTTATTAATATATTTAAACCCTAAAATTTACCTCAGTATATGCAAGTATCAGTTAGCAAAACTGCCTTAGTTGATATTTTTGCAACTGATTGTCATTAAATTATAGGAAAGGTTTCAAAAACTTTCAATTGTGTTAGATCGAAAAAAATCTGAAGTTTAAGCTCCAAATTTGCAAAAAATGTAGACTAAAAACTGAAAACTGTAAATTTGCATTTAGTTACGAAGGTGTATTTCGTATTGTGTCAACGTTGCTGAAGTGTTGCAAAAATAGGAACTAATATATGTTGCTTTTTGTGGTTATTATTAGGTAATCAAACAAATAAGAATGAGGGTGCCCCCAAATACAAATTAATAATAGGCTCTTTGTTCAGGATAGTTAACGACAGAGAATTGTAATCGTGTTACATGGTTTATTACTTTTTTAAATGTGTCCTTAGAATGTGAAAAATTGCAATTTACTCTTTCGAGAATGAAAAACTTCATGGGGGTGAATACTCTCAGACACTAAATGGTCCTCAACAACGCCCCCCCCCCCAGTTTGCAGCTAGCAACTACACCACTTGCGAATCAAGGGCTTTAATATCACTCGACCTATTGATCTTAACCACAAAACCTGCAGGTGATCATGAATAACTGCAATAGTTCTTTGATATGTTAAAAATTTAGGCAAGAAGTTTATTCTCTCCCTCTCCCCATAAACCCCCCAATTGAAGCTTTTCTAGGCCTAGGCATCAGATTTTTATCTCATTAACCCCAACATAAAACCACTCATGTTTCACAACTGCAAATAAATTGATCTATCTAAACACAGGTTTCTACTATTGCTTAACGCCCTGTTGCTCACTGTAGCAGATTTGCAACAATTACTTCTCCAACTTCTTGAAAAAAGATTTACAACATGCCGAAATTGATTTAAAGATGCAATACGGTAAAGAAAATCGAAAGTTAACTGCAGCGTAAACGTTTTTGAGAAACTAATCATATTTTGGTTACACTAATTTTTTTACGAACCTATGAATTTTTTGTTTCAAAACATTTACAGTGTTTATATATAACCAGTGCTGTAGAAGGGTTGAGAAACTTGGGAGAGGAGCCCTCCTTTTACCTTTGAAATTGGTTATTTTTTTAAATTCATGGCTTCAGCTTCGTCAAACGACTGCCCTTTGAAAAATTTAGTTCTACAGCACTGTATATAATATAAATAGAAGACAACAGCTCAATGTATATCTCAATAGGAATTTATAAAATATTTCAGAAGCAGTCTAGAATCTTTTCATGATAGTTTAAATAGTATATATCTTTAATGCATGTGTTCTCCATTTTACGTCGGCATAAAGTCACCTACATTATAGCACAAAACGCCCACGAAGATAAAACTTGTGAAAGTTCGACAATCTAGAGCAAATGGAGAATGTCAAAATATGGCGAAGATCCGCATGATGGCAGCGTGAATGAGATACACACAGTAAAATTTCCGGTGTATTGTTTGATAAAAGAGTATAAGCAGGGACGATGAGCAAGGCTTACAAAACAGTAGTTAGAACAGTAATTTTAATTTTTTTGGCGACAATCCCAATGTGGAAAAGAAAGGAATCAGAACTAGAAGCTGCATAGATTAACATGGCATGGTTTCCTTTAAAAGCGATACAATAAGACAGAATCAAAAATGCAAATATAAGATATTCACACCATTAGAAAAAAACTCAGAAAGGTCACGCTTTTGCCATTTGCAGAGATAAGATAATGAGTGTATAGATAAAAGAAGGCCGAGTTTAGAACTGAACGGTAAGAGACCTAGAGGAAGAGAAAAGATGAACCATCATAATGTTTTTAGCCATAAATGGAAGAGGTAAATTGTGCTGCTTTTCGTACTTAATGTTGATTAAAATGCGATAAAACAGAACAATTGAGTATGTTGCAAAAATTTTTTGAACGAAAATCAGATATTGGATATACCAGCGGAAATACATTAGGGAGCTTTAGCAAAGAGTACGAATATGACTACGGGTACGAAGTATGTCATTTTGGCGCAAAGACATTGTTGCACGTTGCCGTCATCAATCAAAACTTTCATGTATTCCGTATGCAAAATGAAAGTAAAACAAACAGTAAAATAGTACAAATATATCGTTCATAAAATGAAAAATAGGGAAGATTTCTCTCTATAGAATTCTATATTCTCGCAAAATCAGTGTTATCAATTCATTAATATTATTAGTGACAAACTGACAAAGGTGTCCAGTTGCAATGCGATGTGTGATATTTTAGCGTATTCACAGTAAGACAAAAAAAAAGATTTTAGATAGTGTACGATCTTTAATAAAATAAGAAACGATGTAATAATCAGCGAACGGCTAATTTCCGTGAACATTCGGTTGATTGTCTATTTTTGAAAAACTACTGATTTGCGGCCGTGATTTATGAGTAGTGCAAATCAATCTTTTCTTATGTCGACGGATTTTTTGAAGACACAAACACCGTGTATGAGTTCTAGAAAAACATTTTGCCCCTCGGCTCATCTTTTCTTAGGTAAGCTGTTGGCAAACATCACAAAACAAAGCGTGTTTATCATAAAATATACTTATTTTACATCTAAAAAGTAAAAAGCCAATGCTAAACTTCATATATTGCATCAGAACTGACATTGTCTGGAAAGTAAAACTCAGACGCAAATCATACAATGCTCATAACACTGCTACAGTGACATAAGTATAAGTAAATAAAATGGCGGCACTTAAAATTCAAATTTAAATCGCAAAATACAAAATGCAGAAGTACAGTTCACAGTCAATGATATGCCTGATTCGAAAATACCAGATTTTTTCTACACGTTAATTGAAAAATAGTTTCGCAAATTTAAGAACTTTTGAATAATGAAAAGAAATACATACTGCCGAACATGATGAATCATTTCACGACTTTTATTTCATATTACAATACCAAACAGAGTTAAAGCAATGAGCTTTGACATACCTTCCAATCTTCCTAACTTGTAATCCTGAGCACTTCTACAATGTCGTAAAATACCCCCAAAAAGCTATAGCAAACAATGTATGCTCAGTTTACAGAATTATACAAGTCCTTCCACTTCGTAACTAAATATTTGACGTAATATCTACAAAACTGAGGTGCATCGGACGGACAATAAAATGGGGAGGGTGTAGATCTAAAACTTATGCGAGATATGATGGATACGGCTAGGGTTAGGTGTTGGCTTTAAAAGGTAGGAGTTATTTGCATAAGCGAATAATAACTTTATTGCTTCTGCGCGTTATGTTATAGTTTAAATTGTAAATAGGAGGTATGTTAATCAGAGAGAAATGAAGAGAGGGTGGGACACACTCATAACACATACAAAAGTACTGGGAAATTTGTTACTATTCAGGTTATTTACTTAAAGCAGTCCGCGTGCTAAGGTCATGAAGCTCAAGGTTAATTGCGGACGCTGCAATAGCAAACAGATGTTTGCTACAAATATTTGCAATACATGCACATAGTGTGATTCACGTGCACAGGTGTTAGCCTCATAGGTAATGTACAAACAAATCACATGTCATTTAACAAGTGGCCTTCGCCAGGTGAAGTTTATTAAAAACTTCCATCCTTCCATCCCCCTTTTCTCTTTGTCGATTTTGCATGTACTATTTAGACTTGTTTCCGGGGTGGCGCTTTTATCACTCCACCTTTTCTTAGCTATACAGAAAAACTTTATTCGTAAAGATTTTTGTTTAAACTGCGTAAAATAATTACTTTAAATTATGTTATATTTGTTATTTCTATTTTATTAAATCGGCATGTGCTTTCACCTATTGCCAGTTTTTACCCAAAAGAGAGTACTCATTAATGTCATGCGCACAGAAAACAGAGCTCATCGGCCTCAGAACCTCTTTTGAATTTGGATTTTGCTATGATTAAGCGGAAGCGAAAACAACTTTTATTATTAATTAAAATTGCTGTCGGGCATGTAGAGACGGCGTTTTTATAAAAAAGTGCGGAGCTTGCGTGACGTATGAACAGTTGCGTTTTAATCTTATCTATGCGGATCGTATTTTTGTATGTGAAACGCGTGTTTAACTATAAAAGAAGGCGCACAAAAGGTATAATGCATGATCAAAGAAATGTTTGTTTAGCCTATTTGATCAAGGCTTATGATTGGTTGGAAACACAATTAAATACATAATGCTAAAGAAATGCTAAATAATGTCATTGCTGTTGTCTGATCGATTCACTAAATTTGACGGAGAAGCAAAAGATCTTCCACACGACAAAATTAATATAATTTGGCATGAAGTTCTTGTTTGTGTTATTTTTCAAACTTATGCACAAAAAAGAATAAGCTTCGAGATGTGTAAGGAAACTCTTGTTCGCTAAAAATAAAAATTTCATATTATTGTTAAAGGAAAACTCATTGCTTTTGATTTTGCCAGGTCATACATTCACAACAAATTCATGTCTGTCTAGTCACAAAATGTTAAAGAAGAATGCTGAAGAAATCTCAATTTTATTGACAATAAGAACATTTGCTTTTGGTGTACGTAGCTAAATCTGACAAAATCAAGCCATTTCTATAGTTGTACTTATGTGCCACGTCAAGTATATTCTTGCTTTGCTGAAGCGGAATTTTGCTGAATGCTATAGATGAGCTACTCAATACAACAATTTTACTTCATGATCTCAACCAAGATCTCAACATCTGGTTAAATGCACAAACGCCATTTTTATTTCACATCTATTCTCACTTACTCATATTAACTCGAAGGGTGATGTCATTTACTTAGCTTTCAACAATATCATACAATCATTTTTATCTAATTTTAGCTTATACTAAAATATCGTATCGTAAAACAATAATCCTACCATGAACTGTTTATTGTAAAATGCAGTTTCGTTTTCCACGTTGTTTTAGATAGCTATACGAGTATTTTGTATGTGGTTTGTAATTTACTTGATAAGACGATGTGTTTTTGAGTAGAGACACGAAATGTTACAGACTGGTCTCAAAACTATCGTTTCCTGTCCTGTATATAAAAGAAACAAGATGTTTACTTTGGAAACAATCCCAACGTGGAAAAGAAAGGAGTCAGAACTAGAAACTGCATAGATTAAGATGGCGTGTTTTCCTTTAAAAACGATACAATAAGAAAGAATCAAAAATGCAAATATAAGATATTCACACCATTAGAAAAAAAAACTCAGAAAGGTCACACTTTTGTCATTTACAGAGATAAGATAATGAGTGTATAGATAAAAGAAGGCCGAGTTTAGAACTGAACGGTAAGAGACCTAGAGGAAGAGAAAAGATGAACCATCATAATGTTTTTAGCCATAAATGGAAGAGGTAAATTGTGCTGCTTTTCGTACTTAATGTTGATTAAAATGCGATAAAACAGAACAATTGAGTATGTTGCAAAATTTTTGAACGAAAATCAGATATTGGATATACCAGCGGAAATACATTAGGAGCTTTAGCAAAAAGTACGAATATGACTACGGGTACGAAGTATGTCATTTTGGCGCAAAGACATTGTTGCACGTTGCCGTCATCAATCAAAACTTTCATGTATTCCGTATGCAAAATGAAAGAAAAACAAACAGTAAAATAGTACAAATATATCGTTCATAAAATGAAAAATAGGGAAGATTTCTCTCTATAGAATTCTATATTCTCGCAAAATCAGTGTTATCAATTCATTAATATTATTAGTGACAAACTGACAAAGGTGTCCAGTTGCAATGCGATGTGTGATATTTTAGCGTATTCACACTAAGACAAAAAAAAGATTTTAGATAGTGTACGATCTTTAATAAAATAAGAAACGATGTAATAATCAGCGAACGGCTAATTTCCGTGAACATTCGGTTGATTGTCTATTTTTGAAAAACTACTGATTTGCGGCCGTGATTTATGAGTAGTGCAAATCAATCTTTTCTTATGTCGACGGCTTTTGTGAAGACACAAACACCGTGTATGAGTTCTAGAAAAACATTTTGGCCCTCGGCTCATCTTTTCTTAGCTAAGCTGTTGGCAAACATCACAAAACAAAGCGTGTTTATCATAAAATGTACTTATTTTGCATCTAAAAAGTAAAAAGCCAATGCTAAACTTCATATATTGCATCAGAACTGACATTGTCTGGAAAGTAAAACTCAGACGCAAATCATACAATGCTCATAACACTGCTACAGTGACATAAGTATAAGTAAATAAAATGGCGACACTTAAAATTCAAATTTAAATCGCAAAATACAAAATGCAGAAGTACAGTTCACAGTCAATGATATGCCTGATTCGAAAATACCAGATTTTTTTCTACACGTTAATTGAAAAATAGTTTCGCAAATTTAAGAACTTTTGAATAATGAAAAGAAATACATACTGCCGAACATGATGAATCATTTCACGACTTTTATTTCATATTACAATACCAAACAGAGTTAAAGCAATGAGCTTTGACATACCTTCCAATCTTCCTAACTTGTAATCCTGAGCACTTCTACAATGTCGTAAAATACCCCAAAAGCTATAGCAAACAATGTATGCTCAGTTTACAGAATTATACAAGTCCTTCCACTTCGTAACTAAATATTTGACGTAATATCTACAAAACTGAGGTGCATCGGACGGACAATAAAATGGGGAGGGAGGGGGTTGTAGATCTAAAATTTATGCGAGATATGATGGATACGGCTAGGGTTAGGTGTTAGCTTTAAAAGTTAGGAGTTATTTGCATAAGCGAATAATAACTTTATTGCTTCTGCGCGTTATGTTGTAGTTTAAATTGTAAATAGGAGGTATGTTAATCAGAGAGAAATGAAGAGAGGGTGGGACACACTCATAACACATACAAAAGTACTGGGAAATTTGTTACTATTCAGGTTATTTACTTAAAGCAGTCCGCGTGCTAAGGTCATGAAGCTCAAGGTTAATTGCGGACGCTGCAATAGCAAACAGATGTTTGCTACAAATATTTGCAATACATGCACATAGTGTGATTCACGTGCACAGGTGTTAGCCTCATAGGTAATGAACAAACAAATCACATGTCATTTAACAAGTGGCCGTCGCCAGGTGAAGTTTATTAAAAAATTCCATCCTTCCATCCCCCTTTTCTCTTTGTCGATTTTGCATGAACTATTTAGACTTGTTTCCGGGGTGGCGCTTTTATCACTCCACCTTTTCTTAGCTATACAGAAAAACTTTATTCGTAAAGATTTTTGTTTAAACTGCGTAAAATAATTACTTTAAATTATGTTATATTTGTTATTTCTATTTTATTAAATCGGCATGTGCTTTCACCTATTGCCAGTTTTACCCAAAGAGAGTACTCATTAATGTCATGCGCACAGAAAACAGAGCTCATCGGCCTCAGAACCTCTTTTGAATTTGGATTTTGCTATGATTAAGCGGAAGCGAAAAAAACTTTTATTATTAATTAAAATTGCTGTCGGGCATGTAGAGACGGCGTTTTTATAAAAAAGTGCGGAGCTTGCGTGACGTATGAACAGTTGCGTTTTAATCTTATCTATGCGGATCGTATTTTTGTATGTGAAACGCGTGTTTGACTATAAAAGAAGGCGCACAAAAGGTATAATGCATGATCAAAGAAATGTTTGTTTTGCCTATTTGATCAAGGTTTATGATTGGTTGGAAACACAATTAAATACATAATGCTCTAAAGAAATGCTAAATAATGTCATTGCTGTTGTCTGATCGATTCACTAAATTTGACGGAGAAGCAAAAGATCTTCCACACGACAAAATTAATATAATTTGGCATGAAGTTCTTGTTTGTGTTATTTTTCAAACTTATGCACAAAAAAGAATAAGCTTCGAGATGTGTAAGGAAACTCTTGTTCACTAAAAATAAAAATTTCATATTATTGTTAAAAGAAAACTCATTGCTCTTGATTTTGCCAGGTCATACATTCGCAACAAATTCATGTCTGTCTAGTCACAAAATGTTAAAGAAGAATCCTGAAGAAATCTCAATTTTATTGACAATAAGAACATTTGCTTTTGGTGTACGTAGCTAAATCTGACAAAATCAAGCAATTTCTATAGTGGTACTTATTTGCCACGTCAAGTATATTCTTGCTTTGCTGAAGCGGAATTTTGCTGAATGCTATAGATGAGCTACTCAGTACAACAATTTTACTTCATGATCTCAACCAAGATCTCAACATCTGGTTAAATGCACAAACGCCATTTTTATTTTACATCTTATCTCACTTACTCATATTAACTCGAAGGGTGATGTCATTTACTTAGCTTTCAACAATATCATACAATCATTTTTATCTAATTTTAGCTTATACTAAAATATCGTATCGTGAAACAATAATCCTACCATGAACTGTTATTGTAAAATGCAGTTACGTTTTCCACGTTGTTTTAGATAGCTATACGAGTATTTTACATGTGGTTTGTAATTTACTTGGTAAGACGATGTGTTTTCGAGTAGAGACACGAAATGTTACAGACTGGTCTCAAAACTATCGTTTCCTGTCCTGTATATAAAAGAAACAAGATGTTTACTTTTTTTTAATTTACTTTAAATTCAGAATTTGTTATATTTTACAGCTGTATTCTAGTTTATATTAATTAACTAATGATATATTGGCATTGATGGCAAGAATATTACATTACTCTAGTCTTATTGCGCATTTTTCATTATACATTATTAGCTATAGCTTTAATTATAGTTGTAAGTCAAGAACCAAAGTCAATTGCATATGGTAAATCAAAATTAGGTTGAAGTAATGCTTAACTGTTTTAATATTTTCATCGCCTCAGAACGAAGGTTTTTGTTGTGCCAAAATATCATTAAACAGTTAATTGTGCTGTTAACACACCAAAATGTTTTCGCCCATGTATAGCTAAGATCCCATACGGTCTTTTTTTGAAGTGCCCAGAAGTTTATACTTATGATCGTTGGCATAAAGCAAATCGAGACACAAGCTACCAGAAGAAGACATGTTGATACGGATTTAACAAAAGACTTTCCCTTTTTTGAAAGCTTACTGTGCTTTGCAACATTCTTTCGACGATATTTTTTTGAGATAACGTGGAGCTGATTGTTGATGTAAGTAAATGCGAAAATAAACAGTAAAAAAAATAGTATTGCCATTGCTATTGTTCTTTTTGTTACTTGAAACACAAACAGTATAGTGGAAAGAAAAAGAAAAACAAAATGCAATTTAATAAGCAATGTCTTCGTTACTTTTGTGTGGTGAAATATTGGATGAAAAATTGCCAAATATCGTTCAAAACTAACCAATATTAGAGTAAAGATAGAAAAGGAAAGAAATACATCGAAATAAAGAGAAATAATGAGCATTTTTAACGGTAGTTCGTTTTCACTAATCCAGAGTATCAATTCTGTGATCAGAACTGGACAATTTGTAACTACCGTCAGCAGGTCGAAGAAGGATAACAAATAAATTGTGAAATAACAAACTTTCTTTCGAAGATGCGATGATTTTAACCAACATAAAACCACAAGAGAATTCAAAATCAACCCACAAAATAAAACGACCAAGTTGATTACCAGCATTAACATCAATTGTACAAATACTCTGATGTCCATTCCTGATGTCAGATTTCAAAATAGATGAACGACTGCTTGTCGTGTATTTTTCGACACTAATTATTTAAGAAATAAAAGATGCTTACTGTATTAACACAGGCTTGTGCAAACTGAGGAGTCCTTTGGGAGAGCTGGGTTGAGGAGTCCTTTAAGAGAACAAGATTGTAAGTGCTTGAGAGTTCTCACAAACGTCTCCGAGGTTAGCACAAACCAGTGCAAATACGAAAAACATCTTGTATTTCTTTTATAAAATAATAATGATGCGAAACAGACAAATTTAAAGTAAAGTTTTAATTTCTCCTTTAAAATGTATTCATGATCAATTTGCAAATTCTCTTTAACTGATTGATTGTTTTGATTAATTTGATTGTTTGAGCTCAAATGTGTTTTGCACACTTTAATGCAAGCACAGCTCTAGACCATTCAGCACACGCGTTTCATCGTGTTTATTTTATAATTATTCAAGAACCCAGAAAATTATTCTCATCGGCATTGGAATACAGCAAATTGAGACACAAGCAACTAGAAGAAAACATGTGGATGTGGATCTAAATGAAAAATTCCCCTTTCTCGATAGTTGTCTGTTGTTTTCAGGGTCTTATAGAGTTGTTTCCACGATTTTTATTGGAAATATTATGGAGCTTGGTGTTGATGAATAGAAATGGTAAGATAAACAGCAAAGTAAAAACTATTGCTGAAATCATAGAATGTTCAGTAAGATAAAGCAGAAATATAATGGTGAAGAAAAAAGAAGAACTAAATGCAGTATAAGGAGGAATATCTTATTTACTTTTTTACTGTGAAATATTGGTTGGAAAATTGCCAAATATCGTTCTATACTAACGAGTAACAAAGTAAGAAAAGACAACGAGATAAATATGTTAAAATAACGAGCAATATAACGCACTTGAAGAAGTGACTCTTTTTCACCGATCCAGACTGCCAATTCAGTGATCAAAACTGGGTTATTTGTAGCTACTGTTAGCAAATCAATACAGAATAACAAATAAATTGTGAAATGGCAATCTTTCTTTCAAAGATGCGATGACTTTAACCAGCATAAAACCACAAGAGAATTCAAAATTAATCCACAAATAAGGACGATCACGTTGATTGCCAGCTTTAAAATCAATAGTACAAAGGCGTTGTGGTCCATTTCTTATGTCAATATTAAGACAGATAAAATGCTGTACTACTCTCAAACAGATGTTGTCGGTAATTTTGTGCAGTAATTTATTTATTCATGAATGCATGTTGTTTATAGAATTGACTTGGAATTAAGACATTTGAAGCTAAACTTTCATTTACAGAAATTTTTCTAATTTTACTAAAATATAAAAATCATAATGCAGGTCTTAAACGTAATTTTTTTGGAGCATTTTACATTGTTAATCATGTTTTATCAAAATAGCAATTGTGATAGCAAATAGAAAAAATTACTTGCAAATAATATACCGCTCCGGAAATTGTTAATTTGCGTTTTATAAGATGGTCGAAGACTTTAAGTGCTATATATTTTTCTCTCAACATGTACTAATGCTGAAGCCAAGTAAAAATTTGATAAGGCATGATAGAGTTCTTTTAGACTAAATTACACACATAATTCACCAAAATACGATAGCTGTTTGGAAACTAAAAATATCGAAGTAAGCCATACTCTACCATTATAAGTCGAAAACTGTTTCAACTTATGCCATAATCGTATTTATGCCAAACATTACAACAACATCCCAATCCACTCTGATAAAGTGGTGTTTAATATCTCAAACCACCTCATTACTGACAGAGAGAAAGAAATCCTTTCAAAAGGTTTAAACTTTTCCATCCCACCGAAAAAGTTAAACATTTGCACCTTCCTAACACCATTTGAAAAACTCTACAACCGTCTTAAACGAG